ATGCTTTAAGACAATAAACTAGTTCAGAACCGAAGCGGCTTGTGTGTATCTAAATATGGACTGTATGTACTGGGCTGTTCACGTGATGACGTGCTGAAGAGCCGCCCGGGCGCCCCTCCTCGCGCACTGGGGCCCGTCACCGAGGGTGCCGTCGCCGCGTCGCGTCGTCTGTGGCGCCTTTAGCTTCAGGTAGTGTACTAATGCGTCGGGTAGAACGGATCTAACGCGTTTCCGTCCGGCCATCCGGTGGAGTCTCTTCGCCAGGCTGTGAGCGTCACCCCCTGTTGGCTCTCTCGTCTACTTACACAATGATCTCGCGTTTATTCCGAACTCAAGAAAACCGTAGAGTAAAATTACATTGGAAATATGTAATGTTTATTATTTTATTAAATATTATTTACACTCTCCGAAAGCCGGCTTACATCCTATACCATCTTGAGGGCGTTAGGCTTCCACAGACTTCTCAGTGATATCACAGAAAATATGTTCAATAGAACTTATGATTCAATTCAAAATTTCGATGTAATACGTTGTAGAAAGTGTTTAATAGTAGGTACTTATTGAATATATTATAGCTAAGGCTTTGGCGGCTTGGGGCCTTTTATGTCCGAATGAGGCGCTCCCGGTGAACAGGAGCTCGCAGAGGTGTTGGGATGATGTGCTGTGCAAGCTGACTTTGTCAACTTTGCTAGGAGACGCCACTGGGGTTGAATTAGCGCGTCTGAGAGCGGTCTCCAGTCCGGAATCTGGTGCTTGGTTGCAAGCATTGCCTTCACCACAGCTGGGGACACTTCTTGGTAATAATTCATTGAGAGTGGCCACGGCTTTGAGACTCGGTTGCAGCATTTGCGAGCCCCATCGATGTGTCTGTGGTAGTATGGTGGATGCCGCCGGACTGCATGAACTGAGTTGTGTTAGATCGGCTGGCCGCTTCCCGAGACACCATGCACTTAATGATATTACTCGACGTGCTTTGGTCACCGCAAATATCCCGTGTGTGTTGGAACCACCTGGCCTCAGCAGGTCGGATGGTAAGAGGCCGAACGGTTTGATTCTGATTCCTTGGGAAAAGGGACGCTGCTTGTTATGGGACGCAACCTGTAGCTGTACGTTCGCGGCGTGTCATTTAACTGGGACTCGACAATGTGCGGGCTTTGCTGCTGAGGCGTCGACTAAAACGAAGCATGCCAAGTACGATGCTCTAAAATCTACATAGCTGTTTGTTCCAGTGGCAGTGGAAACGGCGGGTGTGTGGACTTCGGAGGCCAAAAAATTTATTGCCGCGATTGGCCACCGCCTCAGAGAGCGAGGCCACGATCCTCGGTCTGGGTCGTACCTGGTCCAGAGATTGTCCGTTGCCATACAGCGTGGCAATGCTGCTAGCGTAATGGGTACTTTCGGGCCGGGTGCGATCCAGAGTGGCTTGTTTGACTAGCCGATGTCTATGCGCGCATTCCTGTTAGCGTGGACCTATAGGTTACTTATGACGACGCTTGCAGCTGAAAGTAAGTATTGTACTTTTTGACGAAGCATGTTGCTGATAACTCTGTTTCTATAATCTGACGAAGCATGTTGCGGATAATAATATGTTTAAAAAAAGTGTTATTTCATTATTGCGAAAAATAAAGATTTACAGAAAGATTGCAGCTAAACAAAATGATAACAATAAATACCCGTTTAATTTTAGAAGACGATCGACAAGTGCCTCTCGCTACTGAACTAATCCCGCTAATCTCGCGAGCGTCTGGTACGGAGAGCGAGTCGCCGCGCCGAGTCCGCCTGGTCCACGCGTGCTCTATCCGCTGCGGGTGGGCGCCAACACTCACGTCTGATCACAAACTGACGGGAAACTCAAAACGTAATCATTTTACATTTGTTCATATATGCACATACATAATAAAGACACTATGAAACGCACGCGGATTATCTTGACAACAAGCAAGTTGTTCAAGGCGCACGCTCCTACATCGCTGGGTATCATTGGAGACGATGATACCCAGGACGGACGGACCCCACGGACGAACCCCTGGATCGTTTCCCAAGCGTCCCTAAGCGACAATAACATTTTGATTAAAAAAACTGAGCAATGCAATAATTTTATGTACATACATACATACGGACCGGTTTCTGAGATTAAATATTTTTAATTTAATTTAATTTAATTTAAGCAGTTATGTAATTCGTATAATTAGAATATGTACTTAGTCGATTTTCATGTACTTACTTTTTATTTGTTTGAAATTCAAATTCAAATTCAAATTCAAAATCATTTATTTCAACTTAGATGTCGGTATAACACACTTTTTGAATGTCAAAATATAAATATGTTAACTCTACCACAGGTTCCAAAAAAACCCACAGTCCTGAGAAGAACCGGCGAAACAAACTCAGCGGGCTTTTTTTTTGTTTTTTCTCAAATTTTTTTTTATATGTGTGAAAATATTTGCAATAAACGAAAAAACAAGTCAAAAAATAGAATTAAATTAAAAAAAATTTAAAATGAAAAGGCCAGGAGCGAACGCCTCATTCCCAATTATTCGCAATTACATACTTTTTAATTACACCATCGTTTTGCAGATGATACATGTTCTTCGCTGAAAGTGTAGAAGAAGACTTAAGAAGGTTGAACAGCTTTACGACGACTCTCTATGTTTTGGCCTTAAAATGAACATCTCCAAAACCAAAATGATGTGCTATGGTGATGGAGTGAACCATATTCAGGTTAGAGGCCAAAAAATACAGAGAGTGGAGGAGTATGTTTACCTAGAACAGAACATGAGTTTCAATAGCAGCAGCTAGGAACAGGGGACAAAGCGTCGCACACAGCTGGAACTGGCAGACAGTCGGTAAACTGACTGACATACTAAAGTCGAATGTACTCATGAAATCGAAGCGTCGGACATTCGAGCAATGTGCTCTCCCTGTGATGGTGTATGGGGCCGAGGCATGCACGCTCAAAAGGAAATTATGACCAAAATGCAAGTCACGCAAAGAGCCATGGAACGGGCTATGCTAGGCGTTTCTCTATTGATGAGGACAGCCGGTTCTTTGAGCCGACTGCTCCCGAATATCGGGGGGCCGGATCAGGCTGTGCGCCGCCTCTACGCGGGGGTGGTGCGATCGATGGCCCTGGCAACCGGGCCGCTATGGCTCGGTTCTTGCGCCGGCCGCAACGCACCGTTGCTATCAGGGTCATCCGTGAATATCGCACCGTCTCCTTCGAGGCGGCGTGTGTGTTGGCGGGGACGCCGCCATGGGAGCTGGAGGCGGAGTCACTCGCTGCCGACTATCGGTGGCGCAGCGAGCTTCGTGCTCTGGGCGTGGTGCGTCCCTCCAAAAGTGAGCTACGGGCGCAGGAAAAAAAAAAAAAAAGCGTTTCTCTACGGGCTATGCTAGGCGTTTCTCTACGGGCTATGTTAGGCATTTCTCTACGGACTATGTTAGGGATAATGCGCAATACCGAAATCCGCAGAAGAACGGTTTTTTTATTGCTTAGATGGGTGGACGAGCTTATAGCCCACCTGGTGTTAAACGGTTACTGGATCCCATAGACATCTACAACGTGAATGCGCCACCCACCTTGAGATATAAGTTCTAAGGTCTCAAGTATAATTACAACGGCTGCCCCACCCTTCAAACCGAAACGCATTACTGCTTCACGGCAGAAATAGGCAAGGTGGTGGTACTCACCCGTGCGGACTCACAAGAGGTCCTACCACCGCAAATTATAATTTTGTGGGTTTGATTTTTATTACACGATGTTATTCCTTCACCGTGGAAGTCAATCGTGAACATTTGTTGAGTACGTATTTCATTAGAGATTCGAACATCGGTGCATCGCTCAACAAATATGCACCGGACGTCTTATCCTTTAGGCCACGACGACTTCTGTTTGCCTGATATAGCTAAAGTTATTGCTCGAAAAAAGTGGAAGTGGGCCTGCCACATATACCGTCGTACTGACAGTCGGTGGTGCACAAAAGTACTGGAGTGGAGACCTCGTACTGGACGTCGTAACGTGGGCGAACAGCCAACGAGGTGAACGAAAGTTCACGAAGACGCTCCTAGAGACGCTCGACCAGGATCCCTGGGGGCGCCCGCAACAAACGGTCCGCAAGAAATTGCGTGAGCGCTTCCGGTGATGGAGCGTCTCCAGCCTCGGCAGCTGCAGGAGATTGACTCCGGGCTGTTCCCGCGGATGGAGAGGGACCCCGTTGGCGCGCCGCCACGTGATGACGTGAGCAGTGATGCTCCTGTTGAGGTGGTTACTACGAGCATCTCGGAGAAGGAGATTCGTGCGGCCATGTCGAGGATGCGGAGAAAGGACGCTGCCCCCGGCCCTGACGGTGTTCACGGTCAGACTTGGGACTTGGCCTTCGGTGCCCTTGGACTTGTTCTGCTGAGGAAGAAAAGTCGCCCTGCGGACACACCTGCGGGGTACCACCCCGTCATGTTGCTGGACGAGGCGAGAAAACTGCTCGAGGGGATGGTGGCCAACCGCATCGTCCTGCACCTGGCGGGGGTGGCTCCCGATCTGTCAGCGGAGCAGTTCGGATTCCGACTTCGTTCGAACTTGTACTGGGTCGGAACCTGTCATGACTCGAGGCAGGCTTCGAAAAGCCACACGAGCTGATCCCCTAGAGCACAGAAGACTAAATCGCAGACACGGCCATGAATACCGTCAGGGCCAGGGGGGGTCGGCCTGTCCCCATCATGCAGTCGGCCCGCCCTACAGAGAGGTGCTTTTTAAAGTTTGCCATCTAACTTTTAATTAAATTATAACGGCAGTCCCACCTTCCAAATCGGATCGCATTGCTGTTTGGCCACAGAAGTAGACAGGGTGATGGTACCCACCCGTCCGGACTGACAAAACCACGTACCACCAGTAAATACCTCAAGTTTCACAGTAAACACACAGAACAATTTCGTAAAATAAAAAGATCATTGTTTTACAACAAAATATCAAAAATAATTCTTAAATATTTATTCCCACATAACAAATGACAACATAAAATGTAAATCCTTATTAATAAACATTAACAGTACGAACAATGGCAGCGCTTCCGCAATTAATTACATTTTATACTACGACAAAGTAGAATATTCATTGTAAACGAATCTAACCAAATCTAATATAACTAAAACCATCCGCTGTCAGACATGGCGACAACCTTGAATTATCTCGGCTTCCATCCCAATTAGTATTCAAAACTTCGACCCCAGGAGTGAGGCCGGGCCACGAGCACCACGCCGGGACGCGCGGGAGCTCCGGTCTCTGCTCAAGACACGGAGAGGCCGTGGGTTTCTTCACTCGTCCAGGCGAATTGATTTAAAAACTATACGTTAAGACTAGGACTATGTATTGACCAGCAACAGGGTGGCGAAGTTCCCCACCATTTCCGATATCAGCACCAATACGTGAAGCAGCGCGCTGATGGTTTGCTGAAAAAAAAAACTTACGATTATAATACATTCGACCTTTGCACCACCCACAGAACACTATTACTTCTAGGCACCACCACTGGCGCGCTACGACAAACACCTTGAAGTACCGACATCTATTGACCGCGTAAAGAAACACCTCAATCGTCTTTATCTCTATTCATAAAAATGAACATGGCGTCGGATGTTCATAGTTTCTAATCCATTCATCCAATTATCCGACATAGTACTATGAAAGTACGACAGATGGCGCGATGTTTTTAAATACAACGATCTTACACGAGTCGTCATACAAACAGTCGAAATCAAACACAGCCCTCTGTCGGGAACACTCAACACTGGGCAGGTCACGGGCCACTGGAGGTTCAACCGAAGGCTGAGTTGATGTGATGTGATTGACAGGTTCGTTGGTTGAAAGACCTACCTGTGGGATCGTAACACTCCTCCCCCGGACACGACGACCGCCAGCAGCTTCATTATGTCCTCGGACAACATGTTCACTGTACAAAAGAACTAGAAATGCGACCACGCGGCTCGATGGCGGTTCGTTCTGTTACAAACATCCTCCAGCAGTACTCGCGCGGCTACGTCACTATTCTTAGGGTTCAATTTTGTTTTTGCAAACCTAATCCACCTTGGAACCCGTTGGCCACAAGAATAAATTTTAGCACACATGATCTTCTTTAATGGCTTTTTCTAAGCATAAATGAATGACTCTCTCTGAAGAAACAATATTGTTGAAAGAAGCTGTCCAATAATAATAATAAAGTTTAGTTTTTCAAAGCAGTCACGCATTCCGCTGTGAAGGATGTCATGGCTGAAGGTGAGCGGTGGCCGGGGTCTATGGGACCCGCTTACCTACATGATATCTACCTACGCCAATACAAACAACCCAAGTGCGTACATACACCCGTCGGTCATTGAACAGTGTGCTCAGTGGGAGTTTTTTAACGTTCTCGATAGTGTAAAAGTTCACTCGTGTTTGTATGAAGTTGGAACAGCGCCCCTAGCACACAGTACGCCGTAGTAGATAAAGATTAGGTACTGGTGGTAGGACCTCTTGTGAGTCCACACGGGTAGGTACCACCGCTCTGCCTATTTCTGCCGTGAAGCAGTAATGCGTTTCGGTTTGAAGGGTGGGGAAGCCGTTAAAACTATACTGAGACCTTAGAACTCATATCTCAAGGTGGGTGGCATTTACTATGTAGATGTTTATGGGCTTCAGTAACCACTTAACACCAGGTGGGCTGTGAGCTCGTGCACCGACATAGCAATAAAATAAAAATCTAACATACTTTGTTAAGATTCGGCCAAGGAACCCTTATGAGTACTTGTGAAAACTGTTATATTAACCTACAGAACACAAAAAAAAATGATCTATAATAATCTATATGAATGTGAACTCGTTCACCTCCACATCAATTTGGCGGTCACTGCTTGATTTGCATTGATAATTCACGAAGGAAACTAATTATTTATGGTATTTTGCTATTTTGTTATATATACATATATATTTAGTACGAATAAAACAAAACGGTCACGGCAGTTTGGTTCGTAGACTTTCAGCAGTGTTCAGGGGGCAGGCCCGCTGCACGAGTCAGCATATGCTACAGTGCTGTGACGAATCTGACGCGGTCAGGAGCGAGGTGCGCCGCGCCGGGGCTATCGCGGTTTCTGTTGAAATAAATAGTTTCGGGGGCGAAAGCCCTTAATGGGGCTTAAAATATCGGTATTTCTAATTGGTTTTAACAATTATGGGTTTCTAAAACGAACTATGGATTTGGTTTGGCTAATTCCACAGTTACTCAAGTATTTTAGAACTCATGTTTTTTGGTACGATGGTTGAAGGCGGGCGTCACGATTCTCAGCAATGAGCGATCGATTGGAGGAGGCGGTTGAACCTCCTACGAGGTCAACGCGCGGTAGGTCGCGCTACGTATGTGAGACTGTCAACATGTAACAGGCCACCCACTAAATAACTCCTCTGCGCTCTAGCCCGAGTCAGACCCGGTTCTGAGATAGGGTCCGCGGGAGGTACTGCAGTCAGCACTGCCTTAACCGGGGGAGGACGCCTTGGGTTGGCGTCCCATGGCTAAAACAGCCATTGCTAGTTAGATTGTGCGTCAGCCGGGAGGGGATACGCGTGCGACCGCGCAATAAAATTCCCAAAGTAATATCAACACTTTTATTTATAACTTTATTAATTCAATCGCAAATATATAACTTAAATATCAAGTCATAACACTAATGTAAGATTAATAAAACATATACATATATTAGGTACCGTTCATATCGCCATTGCTACTAACTACAAATACATACTTGAGCACAAATCTGTGACATCACGAATCTCGTCAAAGACCCGTGCGACAGTATAGTCGTGACGTCACGCCACTGCAGGAAAACCGATTTACAAAAAGTACAATCACTCCGCGCCTCCGGATAATGTCAGGCGCTATTTTGAAACATATTCCTACTGAATTTTCATCCTAACTCAAACTATTAATACATTATTTTTGTTTAAAACTACTAAATAGGACTTAGATAATTTGTTTACAATTATTAACGTGATCTACATTGTTGAGATTATAGCTACGATACAGCTTGAAATACCCATTGCGGGACACATTACGGAACACCCACACATATTGCACCTGTCTACCGCAATCGAGAAGAATCTAATGACAGTAATCATAATACAACAATAAGACAGGAAGCATCCCGCCGCTCAGGCTACTGACGAACCAGACCACAGCACCCAAAAAGTGTGTTGTCCGCCAGGCTATAAATAATATTACTTCGGAGACTAAAGATGGAAATTCTGAATTAAAGGCTTCGTCAAACAGCACGCGTAATTAGCGCGCGTCAGAGCGCTACGCTATGACGCGAGATGTGTTGTACTACTATGGTATGTTACCATAGTAGTACAACACATCTCGGCGTCATAGCGCGGCGTCAGTTTAGCGCTCCGACGCGCGCTAAGTACGCGTTCTGTTTGACGAAGGCTTAAATGTCTAAATACATCGGGTTTGCTTTCATAACATTGTACTTAACATTTACTAATCTTAAGCGTATTTTAAAGTTAAAATTGTATCACAAGATGAGTCCCGATATGAACCTCTGGATCGGCATTTCCACGAGAAGAGTGAGAGGGATGGCCAGCAAATACGTGTAGAAACCCGTCGCAGCAAAATCTGCGAACTGAAGCATAAATTGTCTTTTATTAACCTAGATCACCACCCACCACTGGAGCAGAGTGCACCCCTGCTACCTGGAAGCACTAGACTCATCCACAGCTCGTTTCAAGAATACATTTCTACCACGTGCTAACAGGCCTTGGAATTAACTCTCTTTTATGACATTGTTACGCCGGTAAGAGTAATGCCATTTATCGCCGAATAGTCGAACGAATATCGAAGGATCTAGTAGCACCTAGAATGCGCGAGAAGTACAACGCCATCTATTGTCAGATAGCGGGAACTATTACTAGAGATGTGTGAAATATTCTCGATAATTCTAGGGATGAGGTATCGGCTATAAAATCTTGTAGAGATGGCACGCAGTGAGTCAGTAATCGGAACTACTCGAAGCGAAACAGCGAATGGATCACCTGAAGCGAAGCGGAAGAAGTGAATTGAGAATTTTAAAGTGTTTGTTGAGTATTTTAAGTGCTCTAAGTGCAAATACAGTGTTAAGTAGTAATTCTGTAGATTTTTTTATTTATCGCGAACCCCAGCGCGTAACAATATTAATATCCTTAGTATTTTGATATGTTCTTCTTCAAACAATGCTTAAACGAATGCTGCCTTCGACAACTACTACGTGTTTAAGGTCTATGTTTGGATTAGCAATAACCGATAGCTGCAAGCCATATTTTGCAAAGCATAAACTTTTATACCTTTCCTTGTCTTATATATTTACAAAGTTGCATCTTTTGTTAAAACTTGTCCCAATAGATTCACCAAGATGTCTAATGTGGCAAATAGAAATCGACACGACGATAAACTATGTTTTCCAAAATCCAAAACTACATTAAAGACTAATAGTATACTAGGTATGAGCGTTAGGATATTTAATAAACTACCAAAGAAATTAAGAGACCTAGACGATTTTCATTTTAAGAAAAAATTAAAAGATAATCTTATTAGTGGAAATTATTATCACATAAATGATTTTCTTAGGGACGACATTCAAAATAAATGGATTTTTTAATTATTTTTTGAGTTATGGGAAATGAAAGGTAAATTATTTAACATCATGATATCTTGCACTGCACTAAAATTCGCATGTTAAATAATGACAAAGCATACACGCTGCTTTTAACTTATGTAATAACTCTTTTTCACTATGCCTAGCGAATAAATTATTTCTTTCTTTCTACTACTTAAACAAACTAAGTCTACATTCACTAACTTAGGTAAAAAGTTTATTAACAGCCTCCCGAGCACCTGCGTCGGGTGACTAATAGACCAAGGTCAGCTGTTTCGCCATCGCATCCACTACAGGATCGGAATCGCAACCCTCAGCGAAACTCAATGAGCTGATGCTATGGATTCTGATTTAGAGTGGGTGGGAAAAAGAACGAGCTCTGTTCTGATATGGAACCGAGAGAAAGGTTGTAAATAAAACCGTTGTGTGAGACTCCGTCGAACATGGTGGGTCGTCGATGAGAATGCTCTTGGAAGAGAAAGAAAGATTTAATGGCTCAACTAGTGTTACTGGAACTGATATCCTTTAATAAATGCATGTCGCCACCTACCCACCTTGAGACGTGAGGCTAAAATTCAAATATTATATAATAGTATAACATGATCGTCACATGGTGTTAATCCTTCACCGTGAACATGTGAAAATACGTATTCCGAGGGAAAATAGCAATGAAGACCTGCAGGATTCGAACCCGGGCACAGCAGCATGGCTCGAGATGAGTCTACCGGCCGTCTTATCCTTTAGGCCGCGATAACTTCGAAACATGGTGTCGGTGAAGGCCGCAGCTGTCGGTTTTCTTATAAAATAATAAAATCAAGTGAATGGAATAGACGCGTTAAAGAAAGCACAACATTTACCATCAAACTCTTTAAACTAAATTAAAATAAAACTAGTGATGGACCAAACCACAACAATATACTCACCACGTCTAGAACGGTGGTGGTGGACGGCTGCAGCCTAGAGTGTGCTATTATCGTGTTGACACACCAGTGCAGCATCAGCACCGACAGAGACATGCGGCCCATGGCGTGCCAGCCGCGCCACGCACTAAACTCCTTCAGTATATCTGCCAAATTGCCGAGATTGTTAATACTCCACTTTCCATTGCATACACACAAACACATGCTGAGGAGATTGCTACAATGTACCGTTGATAAAAGCCTATCAAGATTGTTGCAATTCGAGGAAGTCGTTGATCGCATACCTGTATTGTCTGATTCAAATATAAACTACACAAGGCTATCAAACACACATTAGGTAAAAGCGCCAGATTGGAATATTAGGAGTACGTCAAATACCTATTTAACAAACAATAAAATATAGTTCAACTAACTCGATCCTCCATTGAACATTCCAAAGAGTATCAAAGCACAGAAGCAGCTGAAGACCATTCGCTCAAGGGCCACGTAGAACGCAACGAAGCCGCGCGTGCTGAACTCGCGTAGCCACGTGCCCGACAGCACCCAGAACACCAGGACCAGGGGAGCCAGCTGGTACAGTATGTTCACAACCTAGAATCAACAACTTCGCACATACATACATCGAAGTGCATGACGCAGCAATACAAGCTGTCCTATCGCGGGCTAGCCCTGTGGTAGCATAAGTGCTCGGCATAAGCACCTAATGCATGACTGCCGCTCTCACTCCCAACTCAAGAGCAACACGTGTTCACACTTCATCAATATTTATAGTTCTAATAATTCATGTTTCATTTTTATTGCAGAACGCGGTCTTTCACATTCATGCGTGAATCTGTATTGTATTGACTACGCACTCAATTATGTAGAACAGTTAGTTCACACACGAGATCTGGCAAGTTCTTGATTGCAAGGGATCAAGCTAATTTTAAAGCTTAGAAACTTAAAAATCTTACAAAGGAAATGTCCCTCTTCTTAAGTCCTTTCTCCTGAAGTTCGAAATGAACATGTGCCAAAAAGAGACCGATGAAGCAAGCGGGCAGGCTGCCCCACGGCGACGTGTACAGCCGGGAGAACGAGGGGACGTTCAGGTACATATTGCGGATGTTCCTGGGAAGGAGAGCTTATTGAAGGTCAATGGAACTGGCATTACTATTTTTAATTACCAAGTTTCGTTGGACCGGACCACCCGTTTATTTATTTGTTTAAATATTTGCTACACGTCCTCATCAGTTCAAGTTCATCGTATACACCTTGTATTTGAACTCAGATACCAGCAGTTTTGTTCGAGCGGCCAACGCATTGACCAGGGAAGAAATTGCCTATAGTCTGCCAATACTGGGCAGGCAGTGCTTACTACACTAAAACAACACTTACTCAGGCGTAGCAAAGTACACGAGAGCTTGCCAATCAAAAGCATACGCAAGTCCGGCGTTGAGCAGTAATGATGATACAAAAAGTGCTCCCAGGACTTTAAGGGCAATGTCGCGACGAGAAGCCAGATACAGCGTTAGAGCCGAGCCCAGGATATACAGCTGCATATCCACCGCTAGGAACCTGAAATTAGAGGAATCAGTTAATGAAGTTCAAGAATTGCGTTGTTCAATTCTCGAACAAGTGTTTCATTTTAAACTGCTTATTTTCTAGAAACATTTGAACGTAATTACGTCAGACGTGTGAGCTGTGAGTCTGTGAGGGCCGTGGCCATCGTTTGGCCTAATTCTTTGGCGATCTGATCGTGCAGCATTCGAATAGAAGACCCCCACAATATTTTAACTCCGGTAAGCAATGTAAAATGAAATCGATTCGGGCGTTCACCTTGCCACGTGAGCGAACAAAACAATCTCCTTAGTAATATCTGATTTTCAGTTTTTAGTCACTAACTTAACTAACTCAGTACTGCAGACGTTCAACTCCTGGTATTATAACTCCATACAACAAACACAATGGCGAGTCCAGTGAGGACCTCGCCGGACCATCGATATCATGGCGGTGTACTAACCACGTCTGCACCAAACAATGCTCCTCAGCTTGAACCAAGTTATTAATAAAGAACGCTTGGAACCAAAACTTCTTCCTGCAGACGGCGCTCTCGGCCTCCACCAGAGTAGGCCACAGGGGCCCGCTGCGGGCGTAAGGCCACCATGTTGCCGAGTATCCCACCACTAGTAGATAGACTGGGGCTATCCTAGAATTTAAGAATTCTCACTTAAGCAAAACAATCAGTCACAAAATGGTGATACACATAAAGAACGGAAAGATAAGGAGGACAAGAGCAGGCGTGACAGCGACGGTTACAAATTATATGTTTTATGTGACAAATAAACAAAATGAGTGTTTTCCCTTCCCTCGTTCTGTAAAATCTTACGCTTTTCCAAATAGAATAATTCAAGTTCAACGAGAATTGTCCTAAATATTTTGATAGGAGACAAAATATGGCCATGTTTCTATCGCAGTAGCTGAAAAGTTTAAGATTCGTATGACTTTCTTCCTTTATAAGCTTTAATTTCTGGTACTAATTTCAACACGTACATTTAGCTATCATAACTGGGGTTGGGTTGACAGATAGACGGACAACAAAGTGATCTTATGAGGGTTCCGTTTTGTGCATCAGACACCTAAAAAATGCCTAAACTGGTCCAGCCACTGACTTTATGTAAAGAAATTTAAATTATTGAAGTGAAGTAACCAAGCTCAGTAACCTGTATGCTCACCTAGCGATACGTTTCAAAATACACAACGGGAGGTGCTTGAGTTTGAGCTCGTGAGTTTTTGAAGCAAGCAGCAGGTTGTAGGCGAGCAGGAAGTTGGACATCACCAAGAAGAATTGGATTAAAGTTGTGCCATTGAAAAACAACATCAGTAGCGGAGACTTGACTATCTGTGGAAATATTTCAAATATTAGTATCATGACGATGCCATATTAATAAAAAGCCATTGTGCTGCAACTCTCAAACAACAACAGACTTTTTGTTTCAAATCCTCTAAATCTTCTTAATCTCAATCTTGTTCGTTTCGATGTTGTTTCCTTCTTAACTAACATTTGTCGATGATAGGATTGAAGCATCGATCCCCAATATGAAGGATAATAGCGGTACCCCACGCAATTCTTGCATGCACGCCAGCCATGCAAGGATTGCGTGGAGCAGAAAATAAAGCCATTGCCTTCTTTAAGACCTTTTCCAAGTCTTTTTTGAACATGTGGGAAACGAAAATTTTCTGACGTACCTCCTCAATAAATCGAGGGTTGAATACATAAAAGGAGCCACGTATAACGCCGCTGTGGGTCAGTATTGTCAGAGACATCAGGAACACCCTGGAATAACAAGATATTTGTTGGCTTAATACATTGCTGTGATGAAGCGCTTAACCAAAAACAACCCAATTTCAAAATGTCCCATCTATTTCAGATTCAAGCAATGGTTACAACAACCGAAGGAATGCAAAAGGAATATGATTAATACAAAAAAGTGTAATTTTACCTCACACCCTGGACAGGGTTAAGAGCCGAGAGCCGTGGGTCGCCATCCTCATAGGTAGCTATCAGACGATTCCAATTAGAGCGCAAGGACCACGACACTAAATGTTTGCTCTCTGGAAATAAACAGACCCTTTGGTTTCAGTTGCAAGCTAGACTAGCTTTACTCTACATGTATTATGCACACCGGTGTGCCTTTATTGTGTGTTGCACAATCCTTTTATTCAATACGAAGGTCTTCAATGCTAGACCATATGTCTCCGGTAACACCAGCTCTTCCCTTCGTGTTTCAAAGTTTTCTGCTATTATGAGGTGAGGTTGGAGAATAGACAATACTATTGTTGTACATTACATACTCCTTAATTCGCTGGTTGCAACTTTCGAAATTACATGCTCTCACGATTTTTGCTAAATAATCCGAGTCTTATTCTTCGAACTCGCAAAGTATGAAAACTTTGAGTCATATGTTATCAGGTGTATGTGTCTGAGTGGTCTGACTGGTAGTCCAGCCGTAGTCCAGGCTTCGCTGAGCCCCTGACGTTGTCGACGTCCGTGAACGATGATAACCACTCACCATCAGGTGGGCCGTATTCTCGAATCTGCTTACAAGGGCAACAATAATAAGATCAATAGAAAATATAATATTTATGAAAACTAAAATAGATAATACCTACTTTTTCTTTCGTCGCCAAGTAGCAAGTCATAAGCAGTTCCTATGAAATTGAAGAACAATAAGGCACAAACGACGGACAGGAATATCTTTTGCGGTTCATCCATCGGCTCCTGTGTATTTTTCCTTGCAAACTCCTGGGCAAACGATCTGCAGTACTGGAGCTTTTGAAGCGAGAGTCGGAACGCATACTTTTCCCCCCAACGATTGGCACATTGTTCGAAGCGCAGTGAAGTGTTTGTTTCTGACGCAGTGCCACATCGCGAGCTGACACAGTAGCCGCGGTAAAGTACCGTCCGGTTGAAGTTCGAAGGATGTTCAGAGTACTCCTGGTTAGAACGTCAGGGAATTATTAGAGTGTCGCGATTCTGGCAGGCTTCTCTATGGGATTGGTCTCCGGATGTACTGCCAACAAGGTGTATTTGTAGGTGTCAATAGTATTCACTACATTTTGCAATTGAAACCTACTCATGGGTTAAACGTACTTGAAACGTTACTGTTTTTACTTTAACCCTGATATGAATCGTTCGTAGCTTAATGTATATCTGCCCCACCCGAGAGGCGGACTCTCAATCAGCAATCTTATTCACTTTGCTTATCATTGAGCTATTCTTACTAGAAGTAGCAACTTGTAGATAAATATTATGTAAAATTCGCGGTACCAATATTGTTCTCTGATCTGGTGGGCTGGGAAAAAATATACCAGTCATAGCCTTACATCAACTTTCCTTGGAAATGGTGGGTACACTAGGTGAGGAATTAGTGCAAATGCTGGTAATTAAGTATATTAACTATACAGGCAGCCAAACAGACTATTATCTAACAAGATCCTCTGACCATTACTCGCTTAGGTTTATAATGAAAAGTCTAGATAAAAATTAGACCAAGAGACAGTACCTTCATTAACTCATAAGTCGGGTGTTCTGGAGTGACTGGTGTAATGTGGAAACTGCCCACACAATAGAGGCCACCAGGCTGGGAGAGGCAGGTGTCATAGTCATCCAGGTGAAATAGACGCGGGAACCTCGAGTACTCCTCATCTGGACAAAACGATTCAATTGTAGTACAGGGCATTAGGAGCACGCGGCCAGTGTCACAAACAGTGCTCATTGATATACAGCATGGGCGACTCCGGGGCACACGCTGATCAGCTTCTAAGGTTAAAATCCGAAGTTCAAATAAGGTCAAATAAAATGAGCTGGAGGTCTATAAGCTACCCAAGTACCGGTTGAGTATTAACTACATCCGCTGGAGTCTGGTGGAGAGCTCTGTAGTTGAGATGAGTCGTCCTGGTGCTAAGTGGTTACTGGAGCCAATAGACATCTAGAACGTATTTTTTTATTGCCCTTGTAGGCAGAGAAGCATACGGCCCACCTGATAGTGAGTGTTTACCGTCGCCCATGGACTTCAGCAATGGGGCAGAGCCAAGCAGCTGCCTACCGTCTCTGAAGGAAGCGACAGAACGCTACTTTACTAAAAAGCGCCGCGACACGTTAACCCTCTTACCACCGCTCTACCTCGTGGCTACCGCTATTTAAATATCCGAACCAGACGGCGGGACAACGCCGTGCCGCCGTCCCCCGAAACATATCTTGTCGGATCCCCGGGTCCACTCACAGTGGTTTTAGCCTCGTCAACCGACGATCACCGCACTCATCCAACACGCCGATTAGAACTAGTCTAGTCTAGCCATAGGCACAACCCAGTCAGTTTCTCGCCGGATCTTATCAGTGGTTTACGATTCCGATTCTGTGGTAGATTATGCGAAGCACTACTCTTGTTTGGGCCACGGCCAGTGCTAGCAACGTCCTCAGGTTAGAGCCCCGAGAGCTCACCTACTCGCACGGTTACGCTGACATAGCCTCTCAAGGACACCACCTTAAGTAGGGAAAAAAGCCACAAGCAGACTGACTCTGGCATTTATAATAAATATTATGGATGGAACCGTTTAAAAACCAGTTACAAAGTTATATATCCAAAACATTTTAAAGATAATAATTTATTTAGATTTACTATCTTGTGATTCATAGATTATCTAGGGAAAACCAAGAAAAAAAACAAAGTAGTGATTAATGTTGTAATAATCTATCAAATACCACGAGGCGTTCTTTTTCTGTTGTGTTTTTTACTATCAGGACCAGATTTGTATAAAAACTAATAAGATAATTAAATAAGATCGATAATTAATTACAGTTCCTGAAGCGAAGTGAGGGCGGGTCGCTAGTATTGAATACAGGCGCGGCCGCGCTCCGCCCTCTCACTACTCTCCTCAAATTCCAAAATATATTCATTCATTCTCAATTTATTCAATACTAGCGACCCACCCTCGCTTCGCTTCGGAAACATTAAAACACAAATGAAACAAAAAAAAAAAAAAAAAAGTTGCCTATGTTCATCAGGGACAATGTCGGCTTTTAATGAAAAAAGAATTTTTCAAATCGGTCCAGTAGTTTCGGAGCCTGTTCGAAACAAACAAACAAACAAATCTTTCCTCTTTATAATATTAGTATAGATTAGTATAGACATATTTTTGTGCTGCATCGCAACTCAAATGTGGTTAAGTTGGAATCGGAGCTTATGTGTTTGTGCTCACATAAATAGTGGTCAGATGAATTTACGGGATGGCCGAGACGATTAGGACATCATCAGGCAGGAGGTAGGACGAATTTACAGTTACATAGGGATGAGTACCACGCCGCCCTTCAGACGTCACACGTCATACGTCAAAGCTTCGCGGCAAAAATGAACAAGACCATTTCTTTCGCAAAACAGTTGCGTTCAAATTTGAAGCCATAATATGTTTATCTTGTTGTGTTACGGTCACAGCTCTATACGGTATGTATACGGCACAGAACAGCCTCCGAAAACTAAATACATCGAAACAAATTTACGAACCGGACATTCTAATTTGCCTTAAAAAATATTACAATTTTATCATGACAAAGTCGTTTGATACATTATTCATTAACATTGAATGTCGACGCTAGAAGCTGGAAGACGGAGCGCTGTAGCGGATTATCAAATTGGACGATAACTGCGCGTGTGACCGGCGACCAACTCGACCGGTCTTACAGGTCCTTGCTTCTAACCACGTCACCCAATATCAGAGCCACGTAATTCCCATGGATTTATCACATGACAATGAGAGACACATGCCCGGGAATCGGTATCAAGGCTAAGTTAGAAACGTTATCCCTATTCCATGATGCTTCTTGTATTGAAATGTTAACGATTTAACGGAAAGCAGCGGCTTGGCTCTGCCCCTGGGATTGCTGAAGTCCATGGGCGACGGTATCCATTCACCATGAGGTGGGCCCTATGATCCGTGGCAAAAAAGATCTCCGAAGACGAGATATTGCGTAATATGGATGTGCTCTGCTCACTGGTACCTGAGTTTGTGAACAATCCAAATGCCTGTCTTCTGCATAGAGCCAAATGGAAGGTTCCAAAGAATTCTTATATTTACTTGCAGCTTCTTCGCAGATCCAAACCCAACCTAATGCGAAGACCTGCACTAGAGAATTCTCCATTCTGACACAAGTTTCCGTTGTCCCTCCTGAACCATGTTCCCAGACAACTGATATCCTTATATCATACTGGTGATAGATCTCTTGAGGGTCCGCGCGGATAGGTACCACCACCCTGCCTATTTCTGCCGTGAAGCAGTAATGCGTTTCAGTTTGAAGGGTGGAGTAGCCGTTGTAACTATACCTGAGACCTTAGAATTTATATCTCAAGGTGGGTGGTGCATTTAGCAAGCAATAAAAAAATATCATGCATCCCGCGGCATCCCCCGTGCAATATATGCTATCAATGAACAGCATGTCATGGATATGCAGAACAAAAGCGTGGGGGAGAGTACCGCTCCGTGTGGAAGACCAGCGACTGTACCATGGGGGCAACAACCACCAAAACTGTGTATTGCTCGTCTAATTCAGTTGGGTTTTTTCCCTCCAGATTTGACACCATGTACAATTTTTAGACATAAATTATCTAAAATATTGTTTTTTGTTTCAAAATTCAAATTCAAATCAAATTAAAAAAATAATTGAATATTTTTATCTACTAAAAGCAATAGATATAACAAGGTAAAACGAGTTGAGTTGAGTTTTTGATACCTATATGATATAGTTTCGGATGCACGCTGACGACAATAATAGTACTAGAATTATTATTTCATTAAGTAATTCATTGAATTAAATCATTCTCTGATAAATTTGTTATATTTTTATGTTGTTTTTAAATGTGTATATGAATATGTATGTGAATATACGAGTATATGATAGAGATTATATATAGATATATGTGTAAATTTTATATTATTATCATGATATAATATTGTGTACGTTGTTGTATGTGATTATATATATATTTATACCGTGTATGTGTTTGTATATGTATGAAGTATTATTATCAGTTTGGTTATTTTCACATTAATTTTTAATTTTCACATTATGCATCTACCACAGGTTTCTCTACACCACCCTTGTTTGACTAGTAGAGAATGCCTTAGGCATTAAGTCCGCAATTGTACTTCTGTGCATTAAGTTAAATAAATAAATATATCCAGCTCCTTGCCAACACAGAGTGTGCAAGCCTTTAAAGGGAGTGTCGTGCCGTGCTTGCCAGCGTAAAGTGCTGGTGGTGGTTTACTGGCGGTAGGGCGCCTTGTGAGCCCTCACGCTTCATTCTGCCGAGAATCAGTAGCGCGTTTCTGTTTAAACGATGGGACTGCCGTTCTACTGTAGAATCGAGACTTAGGATTCATGTCTTCAGATGGGTCGCGGCGTTTACATTGGTGGTGTGTATGAACCCGGGAACCACTTAACACCGGACGAACCGTAAGTTCAGTCACCCAGCATAGGTCTCCGCATAAATAAAAATAATAATAAATAACAGGCTTATTCATGATAATTTATCGGAGTTACAATAAGACTGCAAAGAAGTGATTTTCATTATAAAAAATAGTTAAGACGAATAATTCGAATGTAGTTTAGTACGCATTGGTGTAAAGTTGCGATAAGTCATTCTGAGTAGCGGCCTTAGGTATATGTAGCTTACTCTCGCGCTTAGGATCAACTTAATTTCTAAACTAAAATTTTATTTCTAAGCAACTTAATTTCTACTAATAAATAAATATTAAATCTTCCAAAAAAAATTCGGTAAATACGGGAGTACGGCAATTTGTGATTAAGCACACCGCACCAGTTATAAAGTCTTCTTAATGTTGGTGACGAAGCAACCGCGACTGCCTCTCCCGACAGCGGCCCGGGCCCACCCCATGCGACGTCGATCAGGGTGGGGGTTATTCAAACTCAAATGAGAGTTGATGAGAGTTAATTGTATTTTAAAAAACTACAACATTCATACCGCTAAGTCCATGCGCCGCTGTCGAAACAAGCAATAACACTAAGACCGACATTTCGCACGGCACCACAGAACGCACGCGCACATTTGTCAAAGCTGGACTGAAACAGCGCGATACAAAAGCTTACATTATATTGTGTAAGCACGCGAATAGCACGCGCTCCTAACTGTAACGTCACAGCCACAGCCGCGCCGCCGCAGCCGCAGGACGAAGGACGAGAAGGACCGACACGGTGCTAGTTCAAAATGTTTGGCAAACGAGTAAGTCACCTCACACGATTGCGAAACTTAACAAATTCCTCCGAAAAGCGTGATGTTTGAAGTGAAATTGAAAATAGACAAAAAGAACTTGAAACAATAAGTACTCGTAAGTTGAATTAGAAATAGAAAAAGACTTGAAATAATTACTAATTTCATAATACTAAGTGAGCTTTATTTGCCTGCTGCGAACAACCGGCCTAGCGAATCAAGTGTCACAAACATAGAACCATCATAAGTTCTTCCTCGCCATATACCTACAGGGATTTTAATGGAATTGTACTGGCGGTGAGTGGTTGCGCTACTACGCACTGTTTATTTTAATAATATAATGTAAATGCTTCCTGACGCATAACGCAACTGCGTGCACACGGCGCGCGCGCGGCGGTTCTGATCTTTTATAGATTATTTTCGTTATAATTTTTCAATTATCGAGTGGGAAAATGGCAGATGAAATATGACCGTTCCAACAGTTTTAAAAGGAAGACTTTTCAACGAAAGTTTTGTTTAAAAAATATATTATGTTGAAAAGCTTTAGATACATGGGACATTTCTAGTCACACACAGGCGACGTGAGCGCCCTTCTGTACCGGGGCCCCCTCGCGGTCGCCGGACCAGGACTACGTGAGCTTTAATGAGACGGCAATATGTTGCATTGAAGACAGTATTCGCGTATTTGCCAAGAAGGACTTGGTCGTCACAACGCCACGATCCAAAGGGTAACCCAGTAGGATTTCATGAATACTCTGACACTTGGAATCAATACGTCGATCAGATCAGTTTATTGGTGGTAGGACCTCTTGTGAGTCCACGCGAGTAGGTACCACGTTTCGGTTTGAAATGTGGGGCAGCCGTTGTGACTATACTGAGATCTTAGAACTTATATCTCAAGATAGGTGGCGCATTTACGTCGTAGATGTCTATGGGCTCCGGTAACCACTTAATACCAGGTGGGCTGTGAACTCGTTCTCCCATCTAAGCAATAAAAAAAAAGAAAAAAAAAGAAAAAAACAGTGTTCCGTGTCTGAGTCACTTCGAAGGCAAAGCCTAAGTTGGCTTCCGAAATGTTGCTTGTATGTACCATTGCCATTGCGTTTATTCAATGTCAATGAGCGACGGTGGCCACAAATAGCAGGCCTTTAACTCGTCAGCCTACAGAGGCCATTGAAAATCAAAATCGCACTGCGGGGCACACACTCACGATCCATCTGTTGCAGAACAGCTACCGAGGTCCGTAGACTAGTGAATGCCATCTTGAGACGTGAGATTGTAGTCTAAGTGATGTTGGAATGGTTGGTTGCCTCTCTTCAGACCAAACGTGTGCTTGCTCCGCGGCAGAGATAGACAAGACCAGATATGTGTGAAACCAGCACACGCCGGGTTGAAACCATCCCTTTTACCGACAGTTCATAAGAGGAAGAAACTGCTCTGTAGCCGCGCGCCGAGCTCACGGGCCCTACTGTGCAGACGACTCCGCGGGTCGCGGACCTTAGTTCGTGCTTGTTTTACTTATGTTTACACTTCGATGAAATAAAAATTTGCAGTTTTCGGAAGAATGAGGGAATAAAAAAATACTTAATGATAAAATAAACATAAAACTAAGCTTTGAAACTAGTTTTTCGATCACAGCAAACAACATAATAACATGTATTTGCACACGTCCTTGTTGCCCTAGATATTAACCATTACGTAACTTTGTTATTGGTTTCAGCAAATTTAGGCTTTAAGGTTATGTGTTGGCGCAGCGCGAGTCGTGGGCAGGCAGCCGCGGTCCGCCTGGGTCACTGTCTAGGTCAACTGTGCCGACTGACTCACTGACGCAATACGCACAGTCAAAGATTTCAAATAATATTGAATTTATGTGTTCTTCTTGTTCATCTTATCAGCCCACAGACGTCCACTGCTGGACATAGGCCTCCCCAAAGCCTCCCCACTGAACATATTGAAATCGGCAATAGCACCTTCGACTCTGTGGTTCTAATAGATGAAAATCCCGACAAACAAGGTTCCGCTTGAATAAACCTTCCTCCCGATCCACTAACGGTGCTTTTGGGTACCTCAAGCACCGGTATTGTTCTCGTCGATCTCGTCGCTTACGATGAAGGGCTCGACCAGTAAATTAACCCACAGACACAACCCACTGAGTTTTTCGCCGCATCTCAGTGGGTCGCGTTTCCGATCCGGCGGTAGATTCTGCGAAGCACTGCTCTTGCTAGGGCCAGTGTTAGCAACACACCCGGCTTGAGCCCCGCGAGCTCACCTACACCTCAAGGAGAAGCTGATATAGCCTTTCAAGGCTATCAGCATAGATAGGAAAAACACTCTATTATAGTCGTTATCTTTTAAAAAAAAAAATCTTATCTAAGCTGATGGTCTTGAGAGATCATATCAGCGTCACCGGGCGAGTAGGGGAGCTTACGGCGCTCAAACCTGACGTTGTTGCTAACACAAACCCTAGTAAGAGCAGTGCTTCGCATAATATAAATTGAAAATAACATAATCCAATAAAAACATTAAAACTATTGTCAAACAATTGGAAGCAACGATCTAAACAGGAACTTGTAGCGGGCACTCCTGTACACACGACCTTGACCGGTAACCTTCAATTGTTAATAGCTCTAGTTTCATGCATGTCCATCCGTAATCTGATTCGCTGCGAAGAATCTGCTGCGGCGATCAGCGTCCGCCACGAGGAGTATGTTACCTGCAAGCCGGAAGTGTGAGAGCTACTTACAGGTCCCTACTCTTGGCTAATAATATAAATAAAATTTATAAACATGTCGATGTAAGGAATGAAATCATAGTTTTTGTCTCTTACACCGGTCACCATTTCTAAAACACAATGATAATAATATAACAATGATAAAATACAATGAGCACAGTATTTCATTATTTATTACTAAACAGTGTATCAAAATATATTCTAAAATTGTACCAGTGTTTTCCTATATCTATTTTGTACATTTTGAACCAAACTTGTGATGGAATAAGCTGCCTAAGAGTATTTAAGTGTTTTGTTTTATTTTTATTTTTAGTCTAGTTTCATTAGTAATACGCTTACAAATGTAAAAACAATAACTTTTATTAAAAATAGTCAACCCCGAAGAAAGGTATATTAAATGTTTTATTATACAGTTTAGTACCTATTAAATGATAGACAAGGGGGAGTGTTACGCGTTCCAACGTCCCGCAAATACCCGGATAAAGCGACAACACCTACTAATATATATATTATTACTATAACATAATATCTACGAGTATGATACTACTTTCAGAAGTCGTCGTGACCTAAAGGATAAGACGTCCGGTGCATTCGTATCTAGCGATAAAACGGTGTTCGAATCCTGCAGGCGGGTACCAATGTTTCTAATGAAATATGTACTTAGCAAATGCTCACGATTGACTTCCACGGTGAAGGAATAACATCGTGTAATAGAAATCAAACCCGCAAAATTATTAATTAAATTTGCGTAATTACCGGTGGTAGGATCTCTTGTGAGTCCGCGCGGATGGGTACCACCACCCTACCTATGTTTGCCGTGAAGCTTTAATGCGTTTCGGTTTGAAGGGCGGGGCAGCCGTTGTAAAGAAACTATACTGAGACCCGCAAAATTATAATTTGCGATGCAAGTTTGGAGTGGGTCGAGGCATCCACCATTATTGTGTCGCAATCGTGCATTCCAGTTTGCAGAGTATTACAGCCACTACACAGCAGAAATGAGTCTTAGGGGTTATGTTTCAACGTGCGGGGCATTGCTCACGTTGTGATGTCCATGGACTCCTGTAAACACTTGATGCGACACGGGCCGGAAGCTCGTCTCCATATTTAATGCGTCAAACAAATTATTAATTCATTAACAAAAAACGATTTTCTAATAAATAAGTAGATAACGCTAGAATCGTCACAAAAACACACAGACGGATCAGAGTCTCGTATTAATCATTCTTATAGAAATTTTAAATAAATTTCTTTTAATTGAACTTGAAATCCTACACCTAATGTTTTTGTGAATATATTTTGTGTGTGTGTTGTTGTGTTGGTGTTGGGTGCGTTGCCCCGCCATCCGCCGCGCCGCCGGGTGACTGATCTTTAGTAGTCTTCAATAGTCGATTAGTTCGTGTCTTCCAGGAGTACAAAGGTTATCATTCATCTTGCTTCGCGTCACGCCTAACATAATAACCGTTATTATATATCCATTCATGTGTTTCGGTTTGGTAAGTAGAGAACCCATAATGTGAATGGGTGGAATGAGTTGCTAGCTCCGGGCATTTAAATATTGCAATAATTGTTACGTTATAATACTCATTGTAAAAAAGAACAATTAAAAAAAAATCTAATTTAAAAAAATAAAAAAAAAAAAAAAAGAAGACATGCCCGCTGAGTTTCTTGCCAGTTCTTCTCAGGACGGAGGCTAGTTTTGTTCTTTTTGACGTTCAACAAGTATGTACTTTCATTTATGTTGAATAAAAATGTTTTGTTTTGATTTGATTTGAATGCAATCGACCACAATTGTATATCTCGAAGGTGGGCACCCGCATTCACATTTGATGTCTCCGGGCTCCAACTCAGTGATTCTAAGTGTGCGCGTGTGCACGGAGGTCGCGGGGCTGGTGGTAGTTCTGCTGATCCCGGACGTAAGCGGACAGGCGAGTGGTCTGTCCGAGGCCGAGGACTGGACGAACCAGCTCTACGAGCGCTATGCGATACGAGTTCGGCTTTCATTGTAATTCATTACATATCAATGTATCGCAGCTTCGAAACCCGAACACAAATAGGTATCTATACTAATATTACAAAGAGGAAAAATTTGTTTGTATTGAATAGGCTCCGA